TTTAAAATAAACAATAAAATAAAAGAAAAAGAAAATATATTAAAATTAAACAAACATGCACTGGGCGTTGTCCTGGATCACGCGGCAATCCTGCTCTGATTGGATTAAATTCTGAAGATTGTGGCACATAGTCGCGTTAAACCGTCCCGCGAGTACGAAACTCTGGGACACCAGCTTACAGCTAAACTAATATGGCTCTTCAAAGTCATATTTCTAAAATCGTGACCTGTTGTTGCCAAATTCTGTCTCTTCAGAGATGCGATCTGAAGGCAGTGACTCACTGCCGCTTCGGCCTTTTGAGCCTAGCTAGAAGCTTTTACCATGTTTTTCCTGCTAGATTTGATCATATTAATGTTCTGCATCAAGCTTTCCTGGCTTCACACCGCGCCAAAAGCACTTCTACTTCCTAGTAGAAGTGGGAGATGATCACCAAACAGTTACTGAGAGACATGCACGCATCACCAATTGTTTTTGACAACGAGCTGATCCATAAACCCTGGCGTTTCAACCTTTCCATATCTGGGATAAGATTGGTCTTGACATCCTGTACAGGACCAAACCACACTCATCTCTGTCAAAGTCTTTCAGATTTACTGAAACGCTTAAGCACCTTCTACGCGTTACAGTCATTAACAGAACGGAAAGTATGTGCATGTCCACATCTACAATGTCTCTGCGCGCTGCCAGCTGTTTTTGATAGTCGAACGTGCACGACACTTGAACTTTTCAGTATTTCTCACGTTTCAGAAGTTACAATAAACAATTAAAACCCCGGGCTGTGAGTCTTTGACAATAGCTTAATATGGAGCTGCAAATGACCATCACATTGCACAGGTTTGAAAAATGGACAGGACAATTTGATGAGACCCTACGATATCCTACAATGAGTCTATTATCATACTTGTTTTACTTTTAAACGCGTAGGGCGTGGGTGTTATGCAACAGATGCGGCATCAGCAGTATACACAGTTCTGCCAAACAAATAGAGCCTTTTCTTTGTCGCACCAGCATGGCTGACATTCATCTGTTCTGGTAGGCACATTGAGCCTCCAATCTCCATTTCAATCAACCCTTGCGGCACGACGTTATGCGTTGCATTGCTTCAGATTGCCACTGCTTCTTCGACAGATATAGCGTGGAAGCGGAAGGTTTTGGTATGGGTCATACTAATACGGAGACCTCTGTGACGTTGTACGAGCCGTATTCTGGTGCACGTACACATTACACTATCATTGACCATATGAAACAGATACGTTTAGTATCATTTTATCACTATTAGCTCTAAATGTACGTCGGTTTTAGAGCTTATTAGCACTCTATTAAAATGCTACCTGGCTGAATTTCTCTTCCGCTCCGACTCTCAGTCACAGTGTCGCTTTTTAACGCATGACGTACAATCTTATATTTTTTGTCATTCTGCTACGAAGTGTGATTGAACTGATACTAGGAAGTTGAATAGTAACAATAGCTCCGACCAAGACGCGAGCCACATCGTAATAATGTCAAAAATGCACAGGGTTAGCCAGGCATTTATATGATACAATAGAAGCTGTAAAGCAATGCACTAGAAACGCAATGTAGTGGACAAATTTGCTTCAGCAACGCGATCTAATCGCTACAGTGCTCTGGGTGAAATCTCCCCACTCTTTAAACGCGTTTCGTCCGACTGTCCGTCTGTGGATTGTCAGCGGTAGCCATATCTATTTGTGTGCTTATAAATCTAAACAGAGTTTCCATCGGCAAGTCACGTTCGCATCAGCCTTGTCAGCGAAGCGATGGCTGTATTCTCACCTTTTATGGTGTCGCCGTGTTGCTCATAACAGCTTGATAAGTCACCATAGTGAGACGCCCCACAATGATCACTAAGTCAGTATTAGCAGATGCGTGTTTGGTAGATAAAAAACGAAGTCTATATACCGCAAACAATTGGCCAAAATCGACAGGTTGGCTTGAAATGCCGCAGCATGCGGCGAGAGGTAAAAGCGTTGAAACGTCCAACAAGCGATCACATTTGATCGTATCTATCTTCTCAGAGTGCCGCCAGCACATACCGCTTACAGTGCCTTTTTTCGTTTGGCTTGAGCTGGTCATTATCTCTGTATCAAGTGTTACATACATTAATATAGGGCCTTGTCATGACTTAACACCACAAGCAGGCTATCAATTGTGCCAGTGATATCGGCAGAAAATGCTAAAGATAGCATAGCAGTGCAATCGTGCGACCGATCGCTACTAACATGCGACATATAAGCTTTCAAGTTTCTTTCTTCTTGGACTTCTTGGCAGCGCAATACATATTGCGTCTGACACGCACGCTGTATGCATCGCCTCAGTAATTGGCGACATCACTATCATGGCATGCGACAAGTTCACATTCGGGGTGACGCGAAGTGCATCAGCCACCACCAAACCGACACGGCTGGAGTACCACCTCATAGGTATACTTGGTAGATCAATAGCCATCTCGCCATTCTTTGAGATGGATGTGGTAACAACGCCGCTGTGTGCAACGACCGGTGATCTGCATGGATAACAAATAGCATAGATCCAAGCAGGTACACCCCGATCTTGACAAGAGCATATCTTCTTGCGAGCAGTCCCTTGTAAAGAGCTGAGCAGTTCTTCTATGGCACTTGAAGCGGGGAGGAACTAGGCGCAATTACGCCCCCATGCTCACTGAAATCTGCTTGCATCAGAGCAATTTCATACCAAATTTTAAAAAGCTTCAGATATGACATGGAATCGCCGATCCACATTGAAAAGAGCCGGAATCAAGACTCTCGTGAGGTTGCTTTTACAGCCTCTTCTGCCGTACTTCAGGACCATTGGTCATCGACGTTACGAAAATGTGCGAGAGACTGTCCCCTGTCAGCATAATTTGAACCATACTTGTCCAACATGTTGGCCATGTCAACTACTTTTTTAAGCTTCTCTCGCAAAGCAATACTGACCAATCTACAGTAGCTTTTGGCTTCATTGTGGGATCTGCCCGTAGCCCATTATTTTCAGTGTAATACCCCCAAAAAAATTCCGCTGGTATTATTGAAGTTCTATCAATACTAACGAACAAAGTGTTTAAGTGTATGCGCTCACAAGTGATTGATGTGGATGTCAAATTTCTGGATGGCTATTTGCGGATATATGGTCGGAAGATATTTGTGTATATGCACCATGTGGCCTGAACAGTTGCGTCGCCGGACCATTGAGCATCGCTGGTGCGTTAAACAGTCTCTCTGGCATAGCCATGCAGCACTAGAGCATTCCGTTTGGATCACGCAGTGTCGTCGGAGATGTATCGCTATTTTTGATGAGCAGTTGATGATACCCATCAACGAGATCGAGGGCACTGAACAAAGCGCAATCAGTCAGGCTCTTCTGCAGCACATTCTTGGCGTTAGCATCGAAATGGTGGCTGCATATATCTTAGTATAAGCGTGCACAATTTGTCATTTGCCACTATTTTCTGACACATGAGATCGGTGCCGAGTACGCGCACTGTCTACACCACACCAATTCTTTTATATTAAAACAGCGTCTTTTGACGCCAAATATTTTTCTATTACCGTTTGTTGACATGTTACGCGGCGTTTGGTTAACCTAGTCAGTCTCATGGAGCTCTTTCTTATCCAATGGTAATACGCATTGTGGATCTCTTGTCAGCACATAATTGTTCAGCAATGAATGGAAAGGAATGGTAGATATCTGTCCCACCCCAGGCACTCAGTGTTTTGCAAGTGCCCTTAACAATGAAATTAACTTTGACGAATTGTGGGCTCATCTTTTCGTTCTATTCCAATCGTACGAATTTGGTTACTTCACCATTTTCCTTACGATATAATTGTACAAATTCAATGAGAATTTCTGCTGGGAGTCATGAGGTGATTTAAAATTCGAATGAATCCCTGATTACTCCCATCACGAGTTATAACCTCTCGCCACATGACCGTGAATCTTCACAACAACACACGGCGAAAGCATCACACGTTAAATAATGTACGATCTACCCTTTGTACTTGCAACATATTATCTCCTGTTTCCAGCAGCTGTGGCGTAGGATATCGTGACTCGCAGTCGCCCTAACACTCCACCGGCTCTAGCACTATAGACATCAGCTTACATCTGAAATCAGACGTCTCACTGGAGGTCAACTCTAGACACCACGACATGCCGGCGCATTCCTGTCTCGGCGGAGGCACAAACGTGGAGACCACATTTAATAAGCGCTATTTCCAGTTTTGTCGTGAGACCCGGCTCAATATCTTCAATCTTTCAGGGTCTGCTGCAGAAGCACCGTCAAACATCAACTTGGACAGTCAAATATTCTGATCCAAGGCTATCGTACCTGTATGCCCACCCAGAAGCGCTTCTTTTTTCTAGCGGATGTAGGTTCACGACTCGCCAAAGCTCTACCAGGAGAGAATCGCGTGGCACAATGTTTTTCTGACTTCAGTTGATCCAAGGCCCACGACGCTCAAGCTGATCTGGCATGAAAGAATTTTACAATTTAAGGCTAAGAACAAGATCATATAGAGGCCAAAAGAATCTTTAATCTTTTCCGTCGCTGGACTCACGATCACGACATCCGTATCTAGTACCTTTCATGTTCTTGCATACTATCTACTGTTTTCGACAGTTGCAAGTTATACGTAAAAAAATGCACGACGCTCCTGGTATTATTTTGTCTTTTCACGCTGGACCGTAAAGCTCGGAAATGTGATGCTAACGACCAACTATCCTGGGTGCGAGTTTGACCTTGCCTAAAAGTCATTTCTTTAGGTCTGGGTCCTGTCCTGTTGACCTCAACCCTCACAATATATAAATATATTTCGTTCTAGTAGTTTACCCTGCATCTCCAGGGAGTTCACGTTTCTTCGCGAGGAGTTCGTCGGATAAGGAGCTCCTCCGTTCATATCTATCACCAGAGAGAGAGGGGGCATGCAGAGCACAGACGCTTCATATTACTATTTGAGATGTAGTAATTACATTCACCACGCTGCTACCCTGTAGCTACGATATCGCCCACTTTCTGCTCATCATCGCTGACGTTCATCACCTTTGGTGCTTGCGTAGATCTTCTATCTCGTGTCCTTCCACACACAGCATTCCTAGTAAAATGTTGGATGAACGCGATTGGTCTCAAATTTAAGCCACTTTCTAAAAGATCCTCTGTCAGGATAGAAATCGTCGCCATTCCCGGAAAAGAGTCTGCCGTCATTCCGGCTATAATAGCGCTCAGCTCTTGGACACAGTTCGCTGACTCGTTTTACGAAGCGTGGAAAAAATTAAAGCGCTCAAATTACCCTAGTCAGGCGAAGTCAAAGCCCCCGACATCCGTCGATTCAATACTTTCAATATTAAGCTAATTTTCAACTCTCGCGCTTAATCGCCTAGCTTGGAGTCTGCTAGCGCGAAAGTTGCTAAGTCTGGTCCATGGCCAAGTTTATGGCTGCCCCAACTTCTCTCACCCGGGAAGAGAGAACCTACTCCTAAAGAGCTGGGCGCTCAGCAATAGCGGTCTCACGGTGCATTTGTGCTCTCGCAAATGTTAGGTTTGGTTGTCTTGCCAGCGCATCTTCTATAATTCGCCTCCAAGCAACCTATTGACGCTGATGCCAGATGTTTCTGTTTCACGATGGTCAGTTTTAAGCTGTATGCATTGCAATATCTGAGGCTAACAACCAAAGGTTCCACGGACCTCGTCTTTACAAAGTTCAATCGGTCTTATCAGTTTCATTACTTTGATACTACTGAGATGGTGACATGTACGTACATCATAGCATGGTACGTACCCCGTCAGACAATTTTAATCAATTCGATGACAAAGCTCATAGAAGTAATAAAGAAAGGAATACCTGGTAAGATACGTGCTCTACAAGATCACACTGGGAGGCCTATCGCCTTGGCACAAGCATTCTCAACAAAGATTAGTGGTGAGCCCAGCAGCACTGAGACGTGATACTTGGTTTGACACGAGGACAATAGGATGGTTTATGATAGAATCCTTATTGGCGATGTTTGAAAACAAGTTTTCTCTCTGATTTATGACACGGATGATCTGTGACAAGGATTGTTTGTGACATAGAGGGTGCTGGATTATGTTTTGGCTGTGAAGGACCAAGCGGGTACTTATGCTGGTGTTGTGTACGCACCCTTCGGACCTGAAGCAGAGCTCGAACGTGATTTCCATGATCTAGTACTTGGTACTAGAGATGGTGATGTAAATTCCAAATACAGGATTCTGTTGGGCATGTGAGCGACTATCCTCTCGAGTGCATTAATCAAAATATCATCTGTAAGGTATAGGTCATAGCTACTTACATGTAATTCTCAAAAACGCGGACTCCATGAGTCGAATGTTTTTCTATGTAAGTGCACGGTAACCTTAGGTATTTCTGTCCTCATTCACCAAATCGCACACGCCAAATGATTGCAGTCGTAGACATCCTCATCATTTTTCTATGAACGCTGTTGGTTGGTACACGCAAGAAGGTACGGCATCAGTCAAAGCAGATTGAGAAAAAATATGGTGAAGGAAGCTGAATAGCAACTAACTTTGCGCTCGCAACTCGCGCAGCACTTAGTGAGTACTACTTTTTCTCTCGAAACATGTGTGAGTCCATCACGTGGTGTTCACCATTTGATGTAACGCCATTCTTTAATGTATATTTTTTCATCTTACTTATATATAATCCAGCAAAACTCTATAACAAAAAAACGTGCGTAGTAATATAAAAAAGTTTAATTCTCCGTAATTGTAGCGTGACTCGTTGCGAACTGGAGATGTGAAATACAGAGAAAACATCAACACATTGAAAAGATCTGTAAATTATCTTTCGCGCGGTAGCACCAACCGCGGTCCCAGCAAACGAATAATATTCAAGTTCGGGTAAACCTATGATCGCCGGGGCAAAATCTTCACCTCTCTTATCACTTGCTTTTTAGAAAAGACTGTTTGTCTGATCCTTAATTCACCCTCGGTATCAGGATCATTCAACTATCATTAAAGCTTTGACCGGAGTCGCTTGTGGAGGCATAGGGGAATTACCCGCACGCATCTTGGTCCGATAAAACACACAGAACTTTTGGTTTTAGAAGTCCACCCGATACCAGGATATCTCAATTCAAGCTCCCAATGGGCAATGTCACATATTGAGATACGCCAACAGAAACTTTTAGCGAGAAGATCAAGCAGCGAGTTCATTTCTTGCTGTATATACGACACCAAAACTACTCCTCCCCTTTTGCTGACGGCTGGGCATTTGCTTAAGGCGGAAGAGGGGGTAGAGATCGAGCGAAAAGGCAAGTTACACCACCAATGATGTTGCAGAAATTGCGGGTGTTCTTATCACCTTGTGGCATGTGTACACACAACTTCTATTTATGACGGATGCAATCCACCGTACAGATTTGCGGACTGTTGTACAACTTGATTTTTGCGGAGGTATAGTACATAAAAGGGTTCCACTTGGATATTTTGTCTGCGTACTGCTAATGTTATGGGGTAAACTTGGAGTTGGACTGCATTCTTTACCACGCACTAAAAATGCTGATGGAACCACAGTGATGCCATTTTAACACATTAGTTGTTGCCAAAAATCGTATTTGCAAGTTTGACAAGGTTGCTGTGCTCTTCGCACAGAGAAAGGTTTGACTATAGGAGTCCGCATTAACAAAAGCACAGAGGTTGGATTGGCGTGCTGCTACCAGGAGCGAAGCCGTGAGTCTCTATCGTAAGTAAATGTCTTGTTAGCTCTGATATTTCACGAGTACATGCATTTCGAATTATAGTAATACTACACGTACATTTTTCTGTCTCTCATAATGAAACTGTATTTACTATCTTATGTGCGGCTAGCAGACCACTTATACCTAGGATTCTTCCTTCACGAAGTTTCATCATCTTTTAAATCACTTCAGAACCGGGAGGTTCAGGGTTCAATCCCGGGCCGGGTAGAGCGGGGTTGCGCTTGCCATGGCTTACACGACTCCCAAAAAGGGGTGACGTTCTAAAATTCATTTATCATCTTTTAGATACCAAAATTTTCCTTTTTTAATGGAAAAAGTACAATCACTCTAAATTGTACTAAATTTGTAAGGGATAAGTACAGTACTTATTATCGCTATTCATCTTCTAAATACTATATTAAAAGCTTACACCAAAAATCGAAGATAACATTACATGAGAATGTAAGAAACCACAATGCATTATATTTTTGCTCCGAACAACTATCAAATTCAAAGTAATCTGTATTGTTGAGATAAAATTATTGATTTGTAAGCCACCCTTTTTTTTATTCATCATGAAAGACGTCGTTTACTATCGCTATACCATCTCCCGGACCGGTATATTTCTATCAGATATTACAGGGGTTTTCTCGTTTTGGGTGGAGAGTGAAGGACAGGGGGTTGAGTGTTGGTTGCATTTTTGAACTTTTCAGTTGCTGCGTCAGGATTTGGAAAGATAAGTGTGACCGATTTTGTGTGTGTCTTTAAGCGGAACAGCTACCATTAAAGAAGAGATTAAAGCACTTTAAAATATGAGCACCTCGCCTGTTATTTCTACAATTAATACAGCGGGCTTTCCTTCTAGCGATGGCGTGTTGCCATCGTCCGAGCAGCAAAAACGTAATGAAGAAGGCGCAGCCAATGCTAGTATAATTAACGACACCAAGGATAGTGTGCTCGACGCATCGGTCATGGAAACCACAAGTGAAAAGGTGTTTAAAAGTTATCCGAATGTGGGGCTTAGTCTACAGAAGGATCCTTCCTGGATGCTTGGCGATGCCGACAACTTTGGAAGCCTGGGGCCAATACCGTCGATGAATACAGTTCTGGAGAAGCGCACGTCAAGCCAGCTCTCCATTAATTCACTACTGCCGCCATGCGTGAGTGTCACAAGTACGACTTTGTCCACCGTAACAACTCCACGCAAGGAAAACATGACGGCGGAGAGTAACGAGGCGACGACTGATAATGAAGGACAAGGTTGTGTCTCGGGCACTGCACTCGTGCTTTCGCATGCTAAAGGCTCTGGTGGCAATACAAAATATATTAATCCATCTACAGGGGACTACATGTACCCAGACAACGTTAAGCCTATGAGTTTTTATGATAAGCAGTGCCTCGTACAGAAGATTACAATGCTACCCAGTCAGTACCTTCGTGGACTCATGGATGTGATCAGCAAGTACCAGCCTGATACGGTGCGCCAGATTGACGACGATGGCTACGCGTTTGACCTGGGTCAGATGAATGAGAATACGGTGTGGGCCATCAGCGATTACGTCAAAGACTCAATGATAGAGCTTGATGGATACATTAAATCACTAAACCAAACCAGTATTACCAGTAGTCTTGGTGAAGATGATGAAGGGCACGAAAGCGCTTTTTTGACTAGTGCGATGTCCAGCGGTAGTACTGCTCGCAATCTTAGCAGTAACCTGGCATTAAATAAGTCCAAAATGTCAGCTATCACTAGCAATGAGAACCAGAACAAATTTCTGGAACAGGTAGAAATGTACTCAAAACCGAAGGTGACAAAGTCGCGCATCAAACCTAGTAAAAAGCACGAATGTCCGACGTGCAATAAACAGTTTCGTGGACGATCTGAGTTACAAAATCATATTCGGACGCATACGGGCGAAAAACCACTGAAGTGTTCGTACTCTGGCTGCTCAAAACGGTATGCTCATAGCTCGAACCTGCGCGCACATGAGCGCACCCATGCAGGCATCAAGCCGTACGTTTGTCATTACGACGGCTGCGGCAAAAGTTTCGCGCATTCAGTATCGCTGAAAGAGCACATATGGATGCACGCGGGTTTTCAACCGTACGTGTGTCCGTATGAAGGCTGTCTGAAAAAATTTACCCAGGTTTCAAATTTTGCACGACACAAAAAGACACACGAGAAAGAGGAGAACGAGCAGTTGGTTGATAGCGACAGTTAATACTCAAAAGCACGTTTATAGCCAGAAATACCGCACGTTCACCCTCCATAATCTTTCTCTTTGGATTACTACTCGCCATCTTCTCGTCCCCGTAACTTTGACACTACAAGCGTGCGCTCTCGTTTGCCCGTCTCGAATTTGGCAATCAACAATGATCGTCTGTTCGTCTCCAGGCGCACGATCGGAAGCGGCTTGTTGTCTCCCGGCTCGGTGACGTCATCATCTTCGTTTTCCTCGGCAAATTGACCCAAATCGATGGCTTTCTCAGCAATACAAGTAAAAAAACCATTTTTCTGGTCGTTCGCCGTGTATTTGAGGTCTCCAGTCGCCTTGATCAGAAGTCCGTGTCCGTCGTTTACCACTATTCCCTGCGTCATTTTAAAATGTTTTTTTAGAATGTCAATAAAAGTATTAATGCAAACAAATAGATACTACACCTTTACAAAGCATCCTTTTTTTACCAATCCAATGGGGTTGAAGGTGTTGTTCTCTTGAAGAAGGTTCAATAGCGCATCTACCGAAGATGAAGACTCCCACCCACTCAACGCGACGAAACAGCACGCGTATTTCTCGTCGACGTGGGATTAGCAATGGTACAGCCGCTCCTCTATCTCCATCCAGATCTTCTGCGTCCAGTGGACCGTCAGCCGCCTCTGAGTGCTCTCTGGAAGTGACAGCCTGCTCTCTGCAGCGTGTGAATGGCCTTATGCTCCTACTACTGTGTACACGCTCTAACTGGCTTCTCTACCGTCTTGATAACCTCAGTACGACTCACGAAAGCTGTTCACCCATTCAGGTGTGTGTGTTTGAGCCTCAATTGTGCCTATTGCAGCTTATTGACAGAATGTACCACGCCCTTATGATTTAGATGCTAATGGACCCTGATAAGGATACAGCACGCGTTCCAAACGTACGGTTTATCCACTTGTTTGGCATTCCAACAGAAGAAATTGCAACGCAGAAATTAGGAGCCCTTTTCGTGTCCGAACGGAGTGCACCGCTGTATTTGAGCGACGACGAGGATGAAGACTTTTTACCTGCAGCAGCCGATGTAGAGGATGATAATGGGTGCGAAGACATTTCGATACTAAATCTAGACGAGCAAAAGATTCTTTTTAAACTGCCGCCCACGCCTTCGCTAGTTTTGGACGTGCAAACAAACGCGACTATGGCGGCGGTACTATGCGAAACGCGTGAACTTTTTCTCTATAATTTGGCCACTTTCCAGCTGCAACAGACAATAATTGTGACGTCTCCAGCCATGGCACTCGGTTCGCGCTGGCTGGCTTATCCAGGATATGCACTGAGCAATGACACGACTCAAGCCAAAGGGCAGGAGCAGTCGCTTGTAGGAAAAGAAGACATCGACTCGGATTTTGACGAAGTTCCTATTGAATCTCTTGTACTCGGTGGAATGGCTACCGAAGCTCGTGATATGTCTCATAGCTCGTCACCGTCCTACACGGCTGTTGACATTGCACAGAATGTCGCTTCGGGACTGTATTACCTTTCAGAGGTTGGACGAGCCACTATTGCACCCTATTTATCTTCATCTCCTGGCAGGCCGAAAACCGACGTGCAAAATGGTCATATACATACATCAGCTGGAAGTCGGCACTGCATTGATCACTCTCAAGTGGCAGATTCTAAGAGCTATGGCTTGACGAGTCAGCAAGCTTCACAAATTGACTCGAGCGACAAAGCATCAATTGCCTCAAAGAAACATGCAGGATGGGTTGTGATGCTTGACCTGGTTACCAAGCGCATACTGGCAAACTTTCAATGCCATTCTACTGCGTTAGTGAATTTATCACTAGATTTTTCCGGACTCTTATTGGCGACAAGTTCCACTAAAGGTCAAAATCTTCATGTTTACCGCTTGTCACCACCGTTACAGAGTGTTATCACGAAACCTAATGGAACTCTCACCTGTGGACTTGGGACACTACATTACCAACTCGCGTACAAGTTACAGCGAGGAATAACTCATGCCACAATCCAAGATATTGCGTTTAGCCAGGATAGTAAATGGATTAATGTTACGTCAGCGCATGGCACGAGTCATCTCTATGCTATACACCCTGAAGGGGCTCGCATTAGTGCTGATACACACGCTAATACAGTTGAAAGTGCTGCTTTATCCGATGCAGACGATCTGGGACCTGGGTGTTTGCAACGTCAAGTTAGCGATTTTTATGCCGATTTCCGTGCACTCGAAACTCGGACGCAAAGTCAAGTGCTTCGAATTCGTCATGATATGAGAGCTCCAGTCGCAACGACTTTGACCGTCCGTAATTCTAAAGGCCCAGCATCAAGCAAAGTAACCGACTCGTCACGTACATCATCATCTTCATCTATGTCGTCAACGTCCTCGTCATCGTCTCCACCAGGCCTAACTTTACACCGTCCACATGCAACCGGGAGTTTGCGTAGCTCAATTTTGGATGCGTCCCAGGCTTTTTTGTCACAACTTGCCACATCTGCTATCGACTTCGGCCATCAGCACTTCGAAAATGACACAGATGTCAATTCCCGCCGTCGCCGATTGCGCCGACGATTGTGCTGTCTGTTCGTACCGGATGGGCTTAAGATGCTTATCTGTTGTGATTCTATACTTAAGATGTATGACATGCGCGTAACTGCGCTTTCCCAGCACAAGGTCGACTGTGCCTTGTCCGATCCAAGAACGAAAAATTCTACGTCTTCTCTGTCATCTTTTGGCTTCGAGGCGAGCGTTACGGAGCTCAAATCATGGGATTTGCTCACTTCAAATCGACGAATGTCAGTGTTTTCATCGTCTGCCGTAAAAGATCATCCAAATTTAACCACTGGTGGAGATACTAGTACCAGGAGTGAGTTGAGAACGTTTGCTCAACGATCGCTTCCACTATGGGCACACCCAAAAGTGTCATTCATAGAGACAAGCAAGGATCATCCACAAGGTCGAATTCTTGAGGTCAAGCGGAAAGGACCAAATTTGAGTCAAGATATAGGTGCAAACAGCACGGGGATGACTATTGAGGGCCACGCGAACGGCGATGATCAACTTTTTGTGATGGAAATGGATTCCTATTTTGGCATTAGTGGTTCACCAGTTTTCGATGGTCAACGCGGCAGTCGTTCAACAGCGCCAGATGTCCCACCTCCACTAGATTTGGCAGTAAGTATTAACATGGCCATATCATCTTCACTGGCCGAAACACCGTCAAAGCCGACTCCTGAGGTGAAGAACACGATTTGCTTTGGCCCAATCGATACAAACTTATTGTCTAGTGTGTGTGATGGCACTGGGCTGACTCAAAAAGGAAAGAAGAGGAAAGCGAAAAATCTTCAAATTATTACACCTTCATCTTCCGTTGACAAAGAGATTACTGAAAAAGCTTGCTCTCCTGGTCAGCTTGCATCATTACAGTTTACGATGCATGATATGTACTTCGCGGCTCCCGTTGAAAATACTAACACTTGATGCTTGCATAATAAAAACAGTGCCCTGACAACATCGGTAAAATTCATCACAGACTAGTAGCCCAGACAATTTTAGTAAATTTGAGCAGCGAATTTGTATTGTAATTTGATGTTCAAGCAATCACTTAAGACATTGCCGCCAGATGTGGTAGCCGGCGAAGTTTATCTGGAGCAAGTGGTGCGGCCAGAGGCCATAAAAAATCAATTACAAAACTAGCAAACACCCCGTTTTTATAAAGGACTACTCTGGTCATACACGTGTTTTGTGTGGAGTTCTAATTTTTAAAACAGGGAAGTGTCGGGTTTGATGCATTGTCCCTGGGACTGAGAAACAAGCATTCATTTATCAGTCAGACAATCGTGTAAGAGTTACAATGCCTCATGGAGCCCATTTTATTCGTCTGAATCACGCCGAATTTTGCCAGTTTTGCAGCGGGGCTGCCGTAGCGTTGCGCTTAGAGGAAGCTTGTGTTTGCCAAACTAAAGGCAAGCCGTCGACTTCCTTCAGATTGTCGCCCTGCGACGTATGGGTCAACCCCTTACGCTCCCGCGAGCTCTGTGTCTGCGACCGCAAAAGCTCAGGGCCATTGCTTGAGCTCAGCTCACGGCCCTTCTACTTCCTTGGCTATTTGTGGGAAGCGCGGGGTGTCCTGATCTTTCTGATCAAACGCGTCCACGGCGTCTGGGCAATCTTGCCGAAGTGGCGTCTCAAACA